TATACCTATATATATAGGTATAGATCTCTCTCTCTCTCTCTCTCTCTCTCTCTCATATATATATATAGAGGTATAGATATCTATATAGAGAGTGTGTGTGGGTGTATCCATACACCCACACACACTATATATACTTTATCTATATCTATATTATACATACACACACTATATATACTTTAGCGATCTGTATATATACTATAAAGCATATATTAAAAACATCTATATATACTTTATCTCTGTGTGCGTGTGTATTTTATCTATCTGTATATATACTATAGATTAAGCATATATTAAAAATGCATATATATGCTTAATATAATAACTTAGGGGGCCTATGCTTAATATTTGGGAGGGGTTAACGTGTATTGAAGGCTCAGATCAAGTGTAGTATTATGGAGAAGTAGGGCTGAAAGGGACCTCCAGAGGCCATCCAGTCCAACCCCCCAAAATGATACAAGCTGCCTAGTGAAGACATACTTACTGCCTTTGTTGGTTATTTGTATGGTTCTTAGCACTAGGAATCCTGATTTGTTACTGGGACTCCCTAGTTATTATAATGGAAATAAGACAGAGTGGCTATCCCTGGTTTGAACTGATAATCCATCTCCTTGCCCTATCCACGTGAGCCTGCTGTGCCAGCTAATATTTGAATCAAATGGAGGGTAATTCTATTAGTGTCTAAAATCAAGACGTGCTGTCTGCACATTGAATTAAAATGCCGAAACCCGTCTTTAGCTCTGTTCACTGCTTGCTACATAAAAAGGTTTCTCTTATAATCTATGTTGGCATATTCAGTCCCTTCGTGTGGCTTTCACCACATATGAACTGGAGAAGTTATAATCAAGTTGGTAATAACTATGAGGTGAACTGGTTAAAAGTAATTTCTGATTGTTTTGGCATGGGCTGAATGTAGGACCTGGAACAGCTGAATCAAGACAAAATGAAGCGAGTCATTTTTATTCACCAACACCCAACACAATCGCTCTTGCCCTGGAGTGAGTAACAGCGTAGCGGAAGGGCTGTATTATAATGCAGAATTCCAGGTTTGAGGAATATTAAGTAAAATATGAAAAGTAAAATATTAAGTGAAATGACTGACATTATTTCTGGCCCCCCCCCCCCCCCCTTTTTTTTTTTTTAGCCGCAGACCTGTCACGTTTAATAAGAGCAAAGGAAGTGCTTTGAGCAATTCAAACTCTTGGGAAGAATCACACTCGTTAAACTTATTGAAGTCCGGTAAGTTGCCACCTTTCTCTGCTCCCTCTCACTGACACTGTGTCAAAAGGCAAAGTGGATCTGACGTGTGTGTGAGTGTGAGTACATGGACTTCAGTGCTCTTCCACCATTGACTTCAATGAGCCAAGGATGCATTTAATCTGATGAAGCTGTATCCATCCAACCTTCCCCCTACAGTGAAATAGTTTTAGAAGGATTTAGGTGATACAGTGATCCATGAAGTTGGGACTGAAGTTGGCCCGGAGGACACACGCCACGATTTCAGTGGCCTCACCTGAGTCGGCCTTGTCCACAGCATCTGGATTTGTACAATGCCATTAATGGTGTAGAAATGAATCCCTTGAGGCATCAGCAATGTAGAGGGAGTTGGCCTGAATCACCTTAAACGGATCATTTCAAGCAGGAAT